TAAACGAGTTGTTTAAGGTTTATAGCGCATCTCGTATTTTTACAAACGAGTTCTTGACGGATTTATTTAGAAAAAATCTGATGAACCCGACAACACCTGCGCAATATTACAGCCTTCGGTTACATATTGGGTGTAAGACACAAAATAAACTCTTATACTGAGCTTCTACTCAAGAGAACGTCCTAAATATTTAAAAAAAGGTAAGGGTGCAAGAATATGGTAATACAGAAGTTTAAAGTGTAGATGTACATACATGTTTATCGGGTTCTTGTTAAAACAGTTAATTTAATCGCCAGCTTTAGCATCGCCAAAATGCACATGAATTCGTGCTCCCCTGCTAATCGTTAAATTCTTACCAGGTCAAAAAATTAAGAAATAAGTAGGGAACGTTCATATATTGCGTCACGGAAAAGGCGGGTGATAGCCTCTGGGGTTAATTTTCTTAATCTTTACATGATTAGTATAACGAAGACATGAGTACGTGTCATCCTCGAAATGGTAAGTTGTGGAAATCGACATTTCTTCGTGCCGTAATATATGGACGTTCCCTCATTTAACCTGTGATGCTGATTTTATATAACTTGTTTATCCTGCCAACAAAATCATTTGCTTATGTATGTAAATATGTAAATTCAATAGTATGTATGTTCCACTTTAAAGACATGTTGATACATATGTGGGAACGTCTATATGTTACTTCGTTGAAAAGGTGGCTGGGTGGTTTTAGGTCGACTATGTTATTCGTGTTAAGCTGACCATGAGTAGGATAAAGACAGGGTGGGCCAGTGGTCTAAAACGATGTCATTTTTTTCATATATGGACGTTCCCCATATTTTACTCCAATTAAAAAAAACGCCCAAAACAGTATTTATGTAATTCAGCTTTTCTTCCACATCTTCAGTCTCATTATTCCAAGCGAGTTGGCAACTACGCATATTAAGTTGAATCGTGAAAAGATGGAAAACATTTTTGGAAGTTGGTCTGCAAAAAGTTTTATGGTAAAGTCGCCCTCAGTTCTTATCAAATTTAAATCTTAAGTTGTTGTAAATGACTACATGTTTGTGAATGTCCATATTTTTGTATCAAATTTTGTATAAAATTGTTAAATTCCGGATTAATTCAAGATTTTATTTTCAATAGTTTAATTACCTTAAGACTTGTAAAATTTTATTATAAAGTCTTAGATATATAAATTTTATTTAAAAGCGTCATACATATGCAGTAGCGTACCAACCGTGGTATATTGTGGCACCAAATACCAGGCCCGGGGCCCGGGCCAGGTCGCTAGCTTTACACTAGATATAATGGACTTTTTTGGGCATTAAAGATTTTACAAAAAAAAATATTCCACGCAAATAAATTTTATTACATCTAGCATTAATCTGCTAGATCTTATTTGTTTTTCATATATATGTAATTACTTTTGTATGAATTTAGAGCAAACACCTATATTATAATTTCGAAAAGTCCGTCTCGTGAAATTTTCCGTGACATTGACTGCATTCTGATTGGTGGCCGGCTTTTTGGCTCCGCCAATCACAACACGGATATGATTTCGGTTGTGATTTCGGTTATGATTTCGGTTATGATTACGGTTATCATTTCGGTTATCATTTCGGTTATGATTTCGGTATGATTTCGGTTATGATTTCGGTTATGATTACGGTTATCATTTTGATTATGATTTCGGTTATGATTTCGGTTATGGGTAACCAGAAAACAAATTCTTAGCAAATTTAAAAAATTGCTTATCAACGTCAAAAAATTTCCTTAGCAATGTTAAAAAATTCCCTTAGCAACGTCAAAAACAATTGCCTAGCAACATAAAAAGATTCTTTAACATAAAAAAAATTCTCAGCAACCTCAAAAAGATCTCTTAGCTACATAAATAAAATTTCCTTAGCAACGTTAAAAAATAGAAACGTTAAAAAAATTCCTTACCAACGCTAAAAAATTTCTTGGCAACGTTGAAAAAAGTCCTAGCTGGCAACCAATCTGAATGAAGAAATGTACTGGAAAGTTTAAGGGAACAGGCTTTTCGATGTTTTAACATATTTAGATGTTGTTTTACTCTCAAATTATAATTCGGTTATAATTAGTTCATCGCCGCATGGATGTGGTGCTTTGATCGAAAGATTTTGTTGTCTTGATTTAAAACTTAATGTGGACCGTCTTTAAGACGGGCTTATAGGCTAGTAATCTATAATTTTTAATTTTAATAGTTTGACTTTAGAATTCAAATTAAGTAAATACAAAATCCTGATTTTAGCTGAAACTCATTTAAAAATTCAGCTACATAAATGGGAAATAAGCAATTTAAAATTCGTAGGGTAAAAGTTTGAGAGGATCACTTCATGCATACGGATTTTGAGTTACAATTCCGGCAAATGTAAATTACCTGACACCAGGCCCTAAACTGGGGTGGGCAAGCAGGGCAATTGCCCTGGGCGCCAAGTGGTCAGGGCACTGGATATAATGAGTTATTTCAGATTATACAAACACAAATTTTGACAGGAAAGTAAGTGGATCCACGCAGAATTTGTTAAAATTAATTCTAAATTACAAGTCGGTCCAGAACGAAAAAGCTCCTTAGAAGTTACCAGGTATTATATCTGCATTGTTGAGAAGTTCAATGCAAGGAGTGCCATATGGTCGCTAATAACCCTATAGCCATTTCAATCTAATTCTAGATTTTATACACTGTGGCCTTTGAACTGGTAATTGTTGCGTCTTAGAGCAGGTATAATATTTTTTATACGCAATTGAAGCCTTGCAAATAGCTTTCAGAGTGCCGAATTTTTTTTGGTCAATTTAAGGACTAGGACCTATTCAAAATTTCGAAATTTAGCAAGCGAACCCACGTCGCAGTTATAATCGAACTTAAATAAATATAAATATTGTGAGTATTTGTAAATTGCGCAATTGGTTTGCCAACTTGTGCAGGTCGACCCCGTCGACTACATACACACCACCGGTACTATTTTAGGCGCCGACCCTGCTGCTTAAAATTCTCGTAACGTCGCCCCCGAGTAAAATTTGGCGCTGATTTTAAGTCGGGCTGATTTTGGTCTAATTGAAATTATAAAACTCAAACTTTAAAAATATTTTCAGTACAAAAGTACAGAATAGATAGACCTTGTATTTGACAATCTCTTACTTACGTATGTAATGTATGACACGATCAAAATATGTAGACATGAATAAAGTTTCTCCGATTTTGACCGGAGGGATTTTACATTTTTATTTTTGAAAAGAAGAATTTTGGTGTTACCTTAATTGCACCTATGCCTTTGAAGAAATTGATAAATACTTTTTTGATCACGACTTTTCGCCTAAATAATTATACTCGAAACTTGAAACTTTGGAATTATTTTCAATCTTTAAAACTTTCTGGTTGAAGTCTTTTTTAATTAGAGAGTTAGTGCCACAAAATTTTGCAGCTTTACAACAAGGATGAAAGTGAAATTTTATCTAATGTTTTGTCACGGACTTATGCAAGAAAAAATAGAATATATTAAAAGTAGTGCAAACCACTCAAAATCGGAGATGTTATAATTTTCACTTCAAAAAGGCTTTCCATGTTTGATGCTTTTCCTAGTCGCTGATCTACGTGAGCTTACAAGGGAACCTTAAGTACTGTAACACCTGGATTTCCTCCCAAATAGCCTTAATCGAAAGATACGTAATTTAGTGAAACTTAAACTTCGTCTTAGAACATGCGGTGCAGAATCACGTTTTCGCGAAATATTTGGCAATAGCAAAACCAAAACGGGCATTTTTCCAATTCTTTTAACATAGCCAGCAGACTAATGAATGATGAAATGAAGTTTATAGACTATAGATATACACAACGTATAAACTTCATTTCCTCATCCACTTTTAGTCTGCTGGCTAAGTTAAAATCATTTGGAAAATGCACGTTTTAGTTTAGCTCTTGCCAAATATTTCGCGAAGCGTGATTTTGCACCTCGTATTCTATAACAAAGTTTAAGTTTCACTAAATTATCTGTCGATTAAGGCTGTTCGGAAGAAAATCGAGGTTTGACGTACCTACGGTTCCCTTGTTACTATTCTACGTCTTTAGTCAGAGACACGGACAGGCACACAAGTTGGTTCAAGCCGCCGCCGATAGTTACATAGCCGTCGACCTATGTATGGGCAATTATATATGTAGCTACATATATGTTCTATTATAATATTAAGTGACTGTAGTTTGGACGGACGAAAATTCGCGAGCGGCTAGGGGCGCCTGGAAAGTTTGCCCACCCTTGGATATGGGCAGTTTAGGCACTGCCTGACATCAAAGTTTCTCAACAGCTGGCATTAGTTTCT